CGATGTTGATAAATGCAAAGTAATGCACATTGGAAAACAGAATCCCAACTATACTTATAAAATGATGGGGGTCTAAATTACCTGTTACCACTCAAGAGCGAGATCTTGGGAGTCCTTGTGGATAGGTCTCTGAAACCATCCACTCAATGTGCAGTGACAGTCAAAAAAGTGAACAGAATGTTGGGAATCATTAAGAAAGAGATAGGTAAGACAGAAAATATCATATTGCCGCTCTATAAATCCATGTTACTCCCACATCTTGAATACTGCGCACAGATGTGTTTGCCCCATCTCAAAAAAGGTACAGAAAAGGGCAACAAAAATTATTAGGGGTATGGAACAGCTTCCATATGAGGAGAGATTAATAAGCCTGGGACTTTTCAGCTTGGAAAAGAGACGGCTCAGGGGGAATATGATAGAGGTCTATAAAATCATGACCGCTGTGGAAAAAGTAAATCAGGAAGTGGTATTTATTCCTTCTCATAACACAAGAACTAGGGGGCACCAAATGAAATTAATAGGCAGCAGGTTTAAAACAAACAAAAGGAAGTATTTCTTTGCACAATGCACAGTCAACCTGTGGAACTCCTTGTCAGATGATGTTGTGAAGGCCAAGACTATAAGAGGGGATACATTCCTGGAGGATAGGTCCATCAATGGCTATTAGCCAGGATGGGCAGGGATGGTGTCCCTAGCCTCTGTTTGCCAGAAGCTGGGAATAGGTGACAGGGGATGGATCACTTGATGATTCCCTGTTCTGTTCATTCCCTCTGGGGCACCTGGCACTGGCCACTGTCAGAAGACAGGATGTTTTGGAACTCATAAGAACATAAGAACGGCCCTACTGGGTCAGACCAAAAGTCCATCTAGCCCAGTGTCCTGTCTTCTGACAGTGGCCAGTGCCAGGTGCCCCAGAGGGAATGAACAGACCAACGAATCATCAAGTGATCCATCCCCTGTCGCCCATTCTCAGCTTCTGGCAAACAGAGGCTCGGGACACCATCCCTGCCCAGCCTGGCCCATTGATGGACCTACCCTCCATTAATTTATCTAGTTCTTTTTTGAACCCTGTTATGGTCTTGGCCTCACAACATCCTCTGGCAAGGAGTTCCACAGGTTGACTGTGTGTTGTGTGAAGAAATACTTCCTTTCGTTTGTTTTAAACCTGCTGCCTATTAATTTCATTGGGTGACCCCTAGTTCTTGTGTTATGAGAAGTAGTAAACAACACTTCCTTATCTACTCTCTCTACACCAGTCATGATTTTATAGACCTCAATCATATCCCCCCTTAGTCGTCTCTTTTCCAAGCTGAAAAGTCCCAGTCTTATTAATCTCTCCTCATACGGAAGCCGTACCATACAACTCGCTGGTGAAAGTTGGGTGCTAGTCACGGTGCAATCTGGTCACCCACAGCTGCCCCTTGGCTAAGACCTGTGACATCCCTGCCCAAGGTGGGGGTAGATTCCTGGGGAAAGGGCTGGGGGGCTCTTTGAGGAGGAGCCCTGGAATTTCTGTTAGCAGGTAGAGAAAGGGCTTGTGTGCACCTGGAGGAGCTTGTGCCCCCCGCGCGCCTCTGCCCTGGATATGGGGAGGTCGCAGCTCGAGGGGTGACCCCTTTGGCTAAGATGGGGGCTGATCTGGAGAAGCAGCTGCGCCCCCAGGGGGTCGGCAGGGGCAGCGCCCGCAGGAGCCCGTGGTTTGGGTGGGGCTGCACCTGGCTCTCGTGGGTGGGGCGGGGCCGCACCTGGCTGTTCCCCCGCCCCCGTCCGGGACGCTGGCTGCTCGCTCCCCGCCCCTGCGCGCATGAGCTCGCTCCGCTCCGGCTGCTTCCCGGGAGCCCCGCTCGCTCCCCCGAAAGTGACAAACCGCCGGAGCCGGGGACTCGCTCCTGCCCCCCGGCCCGGAGACATGGGAGCGCCCCGCACCTGGGCGCGGCGCGCTGCGCTCTGCTGCGCGCTGCTTTGCGCGCCCTGGCTGCCTCTCGGCTGGGCAGGTAGGTGGGGACCCCGGGGGGTGGCAGCTTCTCCTCCTCCCCAGCTCCAGCGCCTCTGGGGAACGCAGCAGGACCGGGGTGCCCCCCCACCCAGCCCGGACCCCGCTCCCAGGCTGGAGCCGCGGTCTGGGCTTGCTGGAAAGGGAACCTCAGCGCACGAAGGGTCTCTGCCCCCCCCCCCCTCCGCGCAGCTTGCCAGGGCAGCGCTGAGTTTGTTTACAACCCATCCCAGGTGAGGGGCTGAGCCCGCCTGGGTCTCCGACCACTGGGGACGCTGCTGGGTCCTGGCTCAGACTCCTCCCAAGTCCCGGGGTTCAGGGGTGCCCTCTGCAAGGCAGCAAATCCCGCCTGGGGCTCGTGGTCAGCTGCTGCTCTCACTTCCCTGGGTGTCAGGCAGAGTCACCCCCTGGACTGCATGGCTGGGGCTGCGCTGGCCTGGTTCTGTGACCTGGATCTGTGACCCAGGTCAGTGCCCGTGGTGACCCACAATGGGCTGCCCGCCCCTAGGCTGTGACCCTGCTCCGAGCGGATCTGGGGCCGGTGCCCAGAGCAGCCCTTGGCCGAAGCTCCCAGCGCTGGGGCAGACAATGGACAATGTTCCCAATTGTGGGTATGACCTGAGATCAAAACTTGGGCCCTCGGTTTGTGGGATTCTCTCTTTAGGGGGTTGGTCCCTATTTGTGCGGGGTCACTTTCCTTGCTGTTTCAGAGTATCAGCCGTGTTAGTCTGTCTCGCACAAAGAACAGGAGGACTTGTGGCACCTTAGAGACTAACACATTTATTAGCGCATAAGCTTCCGTGGGGTAAAGCTTACGCTCTAATAAATGTGTTAGTCTCTAAGGTGCCACAAGTACTCCTGTTTTTCCTTGCTGTAACTTCCAGCTTAAACTGGGCGCCTGTGTTTTCCTGCCTCCTGGGGGACTCGCATGATCTTTTATGTTCTCACCATGCAAATCCAGCACTTGTTTCATTTCCCAAACACAATGCCCGGGGGAGATTTCTATCTCTGAGAGGCGGATGGCCCACAAGAGACTAAATAATTCCTAACCGAGCTCTCCCGCTCCGCTGATTGCCTGCCAATCTGAGAAGAGCGCTTGCGGATCCGCTCACCTTTCTGCAGCTGGGACTTTGTTGCTAAGAACTGGTGAGAGGTGGCTTCAGATCCTAGAGCGCCACAATCTGTTTGTTGGTTTTTCCCTCCAGCTGCCCGATCCCCACTGTGAAGTACCGGAATAGGCGGCATTCAGCAAAATGTCTGATTGTGTCTCTGGGCCTAGCAGGATAAAAATAACTTCAATTCTAAACCTGCCTGAAACCCCGAGAACAAAGTCCTACTTTCCCATTGGTTACTGTACAGGTTTCTAACTGCTAGGCAAAGACAAGTGTTAGCACCAAAACACTGTCTCCATGGATACAATGTGCCGCTCAGCCTTCCACTTATTGCAGGAAGGTAATTGCCTAATTATTTTCTTTTCCATTTTCATGGTTTGCAATAGC